AAAAGCTCAGATGAGACCCAGGTTCAGGTTTTATTTGGGTGGGGGGGGGGGGGGGGGGGGGGGGGGGGGCGGATCAGATGTCAATTATGTGGTTGTGAGCACTGATGAAGCTCAAACCAGAAATGAGAGCAGCAGGTTTGGCTTGATGTGACGTTTTTTTGCTGTTGTCTTCTCAGGTGGAGGCAGCAGCATCCCTAAAAGCAGCCTCACTGTTACTGCTTCTGTTTGTCTGGCTGTTTGTTTTTGTTTGTTTTATCTAGTTTTTTGGAGCAGAGAAAAGAAACACAGGTCATTCATAAACAGCTGAATTTTCCCCTGCTTCAATGTTTGTAAGGAGAACAGATCTGTTTCTTATAGTAAAGCTCACCAAGAGGGTAATGCTTGGTAGGACAGTTGAGATTTTACAAAAGCTGAATATGTCTGAATGGCATGTGGGCATGTTGTCCATGTGATATCATGTTTGAATGTACATGTATGTGTATGATCTGGGTCCAAACTGCCCCCCTGCTGTAGAGCACATCCATCAGAAAGTCAACCCAGAATGATCTGGAACGTCCAACCAGCAGAGCTGAACTAAAGGCTGATGATAAACTCCCCATGAAGCTGCCACAGCCCTGGTTGGAGGAGCTTCAGCATGAAGTGGAGGGAGACGCCTGCTGCCGGAAGCTGCCGGAAGCTGCCGGAAGCTGCCGGAAGCTGCCGGAAGCTGATGGAAGCTGATGGAAGCTGATGGAAGCGGCCAGAAGCGGCCGGAAGCTGCTGGAAGCTGCCTCAAGCTGCCGGAAGCTGCTGGAAGCTGCCGGAAGCTGCCGGACGCGGGCAGAAGCGGCCGGAAGCTGCTGGAAGCTGGAGAAAACCTCCCAGCAGCTGCTCAGAGGTCAGCGTGCACAGGGACTCTATGTGGGCACAGGGCGAGCTCCTCTACTGGGTCAAAAGGAGGAGCAGACACTGACCACCATGGAGCTCAGACAGGACCAGCCTGGGTCAACATGCAGTCACCTTAGTGCCCTCATCTGCTGAAGGAGTGGAGGACAATCCATGGAGATACCCCACCCCCCCACCAACCAGCTCTTTTCCCCTCCAGTTTTCATTCATAGCAGCAGAGATACAGGGGGTTGGTTATTTCTATTTGACTGTATTGAAATACATTAGTTATCATGGTAGCAACACATTTAGTTAACTTTTGTATGTTTCATTTAGTCAAACACTTCACATGTGGCTGGCTGGCCCTCCAGTCCCAGACTGATCGACTGACTGGGTGATACCATCTGGAGTTCCATATGGGGAGAGTCTTTATTCTAATCATTCTAGAATTTCTTTTTGTTATGTAATAAGCTTATTTTGTTCATTTTGTATAGTAATCAGATATTTAAGTTAATGTTTAAGCTAACTGTGTTTAGTATTTTTTGTTGAATTTGTGTAGCTGT